GCGCGCCCACCCAGGCGAGGACGAGCGCCAGGGCGGGGGGCGTGGGCAGGGCCAGGGCGGGGGTCCCCCAGCCCTCCCCCTCCCCCACGCAGGCGCTGACGACCCCCACCAGCCCCAGCGGCAGCAGCAGCGTCAGAGCCCCCGCGCCTGGGGGGGGCGGGTGAGACCCCACCCCAAAAAGGGACCCAGGGACCCCCCAAGGAAAGGGGCCTGGGTGTGTCCCCCTCCCCAAAAAAGGGTCACTCCCCCCCCACCCCCACAAGGGGTCTGAGGGCCGGGTGCCCCCTTTCCCCCCAAAGGGGTCCCCAACCCCTCCCAAAGGGGACCCCGGACTCCCAACCCCTCCCAAAGGGGACCCCAGCCCCCCAAAAGGGGACCCCAGACTCCCAGCCCCTCCCAAAGGGGACCCCAGCCCCCCAAAAGGGGACCCCAGACTCCCAGCCCCTCCCAAAGGGGACCCCAGGCTCTCGACACCCCCAGCCCCCAAAGGCATCAGGAGCTCCCTTCCCCCTCCCCAAAAAGTGACCCAGTTGTGCCCCCACCCCCCAAAACTGAACCCCCCCTTACCCCAGGGCCCCCCAAATTCCAGCTCGGGGGTGGGAGGTGCTCGGGGGGGCTCCATGGCTGGGGGAGGGACGAGGGGATTTTGGGGGGATTTTGGGGGGATTTTGGGGGTCCGGGGCGCGCAATCTCCGCCTCTGGGGGCGTGGCTTGGCGATGACCACGCCTCCCAGGTGGGTGATGTCATCGTGCCACGCGCGGATTGGCTGCAGCGCCGCCCCGCCCCCCTTAAAGAGACAGTAACCCTTTTCTGGTGTTCTGTGACGTCACGAGTTACGTCATCACACGGCAGACCCACGACAAAAACTCGTTTAATGGGCAACAAACGGGGGGCGGGGTGGGGGCTGACAGCTCCGGGGGTCCCACACGTGTGGGGCCCCTCCCCCCCCACGGGGGTCTCACCTCAGGGTCCCACAGGGCAGGAGAGGGGCTCTGCATGGGGGGTCCCCGCACAAGGACCCCCCAGTCCCGAGGGTCCCGTGGGGGTCCCGTGGGGGTCCCCAGGCGTCTCTCTGGCCTGGAGAGGTCCCACAGGGGTCTGGAGGGTCCCCCGAGGGTCCCTCCTGCACGGGGGGGCCCCAGGGGTCTCGGGGTCACTCCACGACGAGCGGGAACCTCTCGGCCTCCTCGAACTGCGCGTTCATGGAGGAGGCCCAGGCCTCGAGCTCCGACAGCTGCGGGGGCACGGGG